CAGCTCAGGTCATGATCCCAGGGTCCTTGGATCGAGGCCCACATCGGGCTCCCTGCTCAGCTGGGGAAGCCTGCTTCTCCCTCTCCCACTCCCCCTGCTTGTGTTCCCGCTCTCACTGCCTCTCTCTCTGTCAAATAAATGGATAAAATCTTCAATAAAAAAAACCAAAAGAGCTATAAGAGCCAATGAATATGTCCAAACAATTGGAAATTGAAGTAAAAAAACATTTCCAATATCATAAAAATAAGAAATACTTAAGAATATATTTGACAAAAGATGTGCAACACCTGTATACTGAAAACCAAAACACTACCGAGAGTAAAGATTTAAATAAATGGAGAGACGCATGGTGTTCATAAATCAAAAGACTCAATATTGTTAAGATATAAATTCTCAAGTTTATATATAGATTCTATGTAATCCTAATCAAACTCCCAGTAGACTTTTTTATGGAAATTAACAAGCTGATTCTAAAATTTATATGAAAATGCACAGCACCTAGTTTTCCCAAAACAACTTTGAAAGAGAATTAACAACTTTGGGGGGCTTATACTACCTGATTTTAGAACTTATTATAAAGCTAGTCTAATGAAACATGTTGGTATTCGTATACAGATAGGTCAATGGAATAGAATCTAGAAATTGATTTATGGACAATTGATTTTGACAAAGGTGTCACGTCAAAATGAATTATAGACTTAAATGTAAAGCTTAAAACTGTATAAAATAAAAAGCTTTTGCACAGCAAAGGAAATAGTCAACAAAACTAAGAGACAACCCAGAGGATGGGAGAAGATATTTGCAAATGACACTACAGATAAAGGGCTGGTATCCAAGATCTATAAAGAACTTCTCAAACTCAACACCCAAAAAACAAATAATCCAGTCAAGAAATGAGCAGAAGACATGAACAGACACCTTTCCAAAGAAGACATACAAATGGCTAACAGACACATGAAAAAATGTTCATCATCATTAGCCATCAGGGAAATACAAATCAAAACCACAATGAGATACCACCTTACACCAGTTAGAATGGCAAAAATTAACAAGACAGGAAACAAGTGTTGGCGAGGATGTGGAGAAAGAGGAGCCCTCTTACACTGTTGGTGGGAATGCAAGCTGGTACAGCCACTCTGGAAAACAGTATGGAGGTTCCTCAAAAAGTTGAAAATAGAGCTACCCTACCCAATCAATTGCACTACTAGGTATTTACTCCAAAGATACATAGTGAAAAGAAGGGGCACCTGCACCCCAATGTTCATAGCAGCAATGTCCACAATAGCCAAACTGTGGAAGGAGCCGAGATGCCCTTCATCAGACGAATGGATAAAGAAGATGTGGTTCATATATACAATGGAATATTACTCAGCCATCAGAAAGGATGAATACCCACCATTTGCATCGACATGGATGGAACTGGAGGGGATTATGTGGAGTGAAATAAGTCAAGCAGAGAAAGACAATTACATGAGTGAAATTATATGGTTTATACGGTTTCACTCACATGTGGAACATAAGGAATAGTGCGGAGGACCACAGGGGAAGGGAGGGAAAACTGAAGGGGAAGAAATCGGAGAGACTCTGGACTCCGGGAACCAAACTGAGGGTTACAGAAGGAGGTAGGTGGGGGATGGGGTAACCAGGTGATGGGTATTAAGGAAGGCACATGTGGTGATGAGCAATAGGTGTTATATGCAACAAATGAATCGTTGAACACTAAATCAAAAACCAATGATGTATTATATGTTGGCTAATTGAAACACAATAAAAAAATAAAAATTAAATTAAATTCAAACTTAAAAAAAATTCTAGAAGAAAATTTAGAGGGAAATCTTAGTGACCTTGGGTTTGGCAAATATTTCTTAAACAGGGCATAAAACCCATTAAGCATAAAAAAAATGTCAATAAATTGGATGGCATCAAAATTAAAAAGCCTTGGTCTTCAAAAGACACTGTTAAAAAGGGGAAAGGCAAGCTACAGCCCAGGAGAAATTTATAAAACATAAAAGTCCTTTGTTGGATATATCTAGAATATATAAAGAATTCTAACTGAAAAGTAATAAAAAAAGACAACTCAATTAAAAAATGGGGAAGGGGAGGCGCCTGGCGGCTCAATCGGTTAAGCGCCCACCTTCGGCTCAGGTGGTGATCTCGGGGTCCTGGGATCTAGCCCCTCTCCCTCTGCCTTTCTCTCCAATAATAAATAAATAAAATCTTTAAAAAAATGGGGAAGATTTAGGGCGCCTGGGTGGCTCTGTCGTTAAGCGTCTGCCTTTGGCTTAGGTCATGATCCCAGGGTCCTGGGATCGAGGCTCATGTCTGGCTCCCTGCTCAGCGGGGAGTCTGCTTCCCCCTCTCTGGTTGTGCTCTCTCTCTCTCTAAAAAAAAAAAAAACAAAAACAAAAAAACAAAAACAAAAAAAAACCAAACCAAACAAACAAACAAAAATGGGGAAGATTTGAACAGATATTTCACATAACATACGTATGGCAAATAAGCACATGAAAAGATGCTCAACATCATTAGTCAAAAGGGAAATGAAAACTAGAATCACAATGAGGTACCACTACCCATTCACTAGAATACCTAAGATTTAAAAGACTGACCATACTCAGTATTCCTAAGAATGTACAGCAACAAGAACACTCATAAATTGCTGGTAGGAAGGTACAAACACCTTGGAAAACAATTTTTGCAGTCGCTTAAAAGTTAAAACATACACCTACCATACGAGAGAGCCAGCCAGTCCACTCCTAGGTTACCTACCCAAAAGAAATAAAAACCTATATCCACACAAAGACTTGTATATATAAATGTTCAGTACAATATCTGTAATAACTAAAAACTGGAAACACCACAAAATGTCCACCAGCAGGTGAATGGATAAGTGAATTGTGGGACAGCCATACAACAGGATGCCATTCAGCAATAAAAAGGAAAGAATTATTGAGACACACAACCACAGGGATGAATCTTGATATAATTATGCTGAATGAAAGTCAGAAAAAGAAAACATACTGTATGATTCATTTTTTATACAACTCTAGAAAATAAAAACTAATCTATAGTGACAGAAAGCAGATGTAATGGTTGCCCGGAGATGGGGAAGGAGAGGGGTGGACTGGGGAGGGGAGAAAAGGATTACCAAGGGGTACAAAGTAAGTTTTGGTCATGACGGACGTTGACATTGTCTTGATTGTGGTGCTGATTTCATGGGTGCATCAGTGTCAAAGCTTATTAAATTGTACACTTTAAATATGTACAGTTTATTGTAGGTCAGTTGTACCTCAGTAAAACTGTTAAAAAAATTAACTGAACTTCAGTGGAGGCAGGGATGGAAAGGGTTCTCTACTCTTGGTCTTTAACATCTGTTCAAAGATATTCAAAGGTATCATTAGGAAATCAGGCTTTTGGGGAGAACTTCAGATTTTGAAGTGTTTAATTCTGAACCAAAAGAAAGAGATTTTCCATGTTTTCCCTATCCCCAGCGTAGATAAGAGAAATGGCAGCGCAAGCTGTCCATACCTTCACTCGAGCTGCAGTGCCTTCCATTCCACGGCTCTGAGTCTCTTTCCGCTTATCTGAGACCTCCTGTTGTTTTTGGAGAGCATCCTTGAGACGCTTGTTGGCAGCTGCTGCCTAAATAAAAATGGCTCACAGTAATGTTGAATTGAAGGTTGACAAAAAAAAAAATGTTTTAATTTCCATTTTACTTTCTCAGTAAAGAAAAATGAAAAAAATTCTATGGGTTTGAGTTCCTAGAGGAATCAACTTTTAAGTCTCCTTGCACATAATACTGGAGAACAGCTCCTGCTTTAGAGCCTAGGAGAGGTACACATTTTGAAGAAGTACTGTGGACTGAAAGTGTCTGGCAATGTCACTTCTCAACATTACTCTGTATTTTTTGGGGGGGGAGGAAGAATTGAAAGCCCAATTGGAAAAAAAAATCCTTATTTGAACGGTACCATTTTCTTCAGATTTTTATCTGCTCACAGTTCATGACATATAAACAGGGATTAAGACTTAGGAATTGCTGGTCAAGACTGGTATCACTGGTTTCTCAGGACACTGGCTCGTTTAAGGGATACTATTTTGTCAGCACCTAAGCCTGAAGGTGAACTAGTAGATTGGATTTTCTTACCTCCTCAGTTTTACGTCTGAGCACATTAGACTGTTTCTGGAAGTTTCTTTCAAGTTTGAGCAGTTCATATTGCCTCTTACGGTCCTGAGAAGAAAAAAGTCAGACTTTTAATTGCGATTCAGCCAGCTAACATAAAACCTTATAACATAACTAAAGTGTCTTTCAATGTAACAGTCATTATGGAAAACATTATGGAGGTTCCTCAAAAAATAAAAATAGTACTACCATACAGTCTAGCAATCCCACTACTGGGTGTATATTCAAAGGAAATGAAATATGAAATCAGTATCTTGAAGAGGTATCTGCATTCTCATATTCATTGCAGCATTATTCATAGTAACCAAGATATGGAAACAACGTAAGTGTCGACAGATGAATGGATAAAGAAAATGGGGCGTATGTATACAATGGAATATTATTCAGCCACAAACAAGAAGGAAATCCTGCCATTTGCGACAACATGGATGAACCTAAAGGTCATTATGGTAACTGAAATAAACCAAACTAAGAAAGACAAATACTGTATGATCTCACTTATATGTGGAATCTAAAGAAGTCAAACTCATAGAACCAGAGAGTAATGGTGGTTACCAGGAACTGGGGGTGGGGAAAACAGGGAAAAGTTGGCCAAAGGTACAAATGAGTAAGTTCTGGGGATCAATATGTAATAGTGACTACTTGAAATCTGCTAAGTGTTAAGGTCAGGGTTAGGGTTAGTGTTAATCTTAAATCTTAAGTGTTCTCACCACACTGAAAAAAACTATGTGAGGTGATGGATGTATTGCCAACAGGAAATGAGACATCTCCAAACTTATTCTTCTCTTTCAAGACTGTTATGCCTATTCTGGATCACTTCCATTTCCATATGAATTTTAGGATCAGCATGTGAATTTCTGCAAATAAGCCAGTTGGAATTTTGATTGAGATTGTACTAAATCTGTAGATCAATCTGGGAAGTATTCCATCTTTTTTTTGTGGGGGAGGGAGTATTCCATCTTAAGAATATTAAGTCTTCCCAGCCATGAACATGGACTATCTTTCCATTTATTTAATTAACTCAATGATGTTTTATAGAATTTAGTGTATAAGTTTTACATTTGTTAAGTTTATTCCTAAGCATTTTATTCTTATTGATGCTATTATAAATGGAATTGTTTTCTTCATTTTCAAATTCGTTTCTAGTGTAAAGAAATACAACTGACTTTTGTACATTGAACTTATATCCTCCAACCTTGCTGAACTCATGTATTCGTTTTCCTAGTTTTTTAGTAGATTCTCTAGCATTTTTTTATTTTTTAAAGATTTTATTTATTTATTTGACAGAGAGAGAGACAGCGAGAGAGGGTACACAGGCAGGGGGAGTGGGAAAGGGAGAAGCAGGCTTCCTGCCGAGCAGAGAGCCCGATGCGGGGCTCGATCCCAGGACCCTGAGACCATGACCTGAGCCGAAGGCAGATGCTTAACCAACTGAGCCACCCAGGCGCCCCTCTCTAGCATTTTATACATACACAATCATGTTACCTGCTAACAGAGAGTTTTGCTTCTTCCTTTCCAATCTGGATGCCTTTTATATATTTTTCTTGCCTAAGTGTCCTGGCTAGAACCTTCAGGACAATGTGGAATAAAAGTGACAAGAGTGGATATTCTTGTTTTGTTCCTGATCTTATAGGGAAAGTATTCTTTCTTTCCCTATTATGATGTCAGCTGCGGGTTTTTCATAAATGCCCTTTAACAGGTTGAGGTAGTTCCCTTCTACTCCAAGTTTCCTGAGTGTTTTTATTATGAAAGGGTGATGGATTTTGTCAAATGCGTTTTCTGTCTGCTGAGATAATCATGTGGTTCTTGTCCTTTATTCTACTGATATGGTGTAATATATCAATTGACTTTCAGATGTTAAGGAAGGCTTACATTTTTTTTTAAGATTTTATTTATTTATTTGACAGAGAGAGAGACACACAGTGAGGGCAGGAACACAAGCAGGGGGAGTGGGAGAGGGAGAAGCAGGCTTCCTGCCAAGCAGGGAGCCCAATGTGGGGCTCAATCCCAGCACCCTGGGATCATGACCTGAGCCGAAGGCAGACGCTTAACGACTGAGCCACCCAGGCACCCCAAGGAAGGCTTACATTTTTTTCAGATGAGCCCTACTTGGTCATGGTGTATTACTCTTTTTATATGTTGCTGGATTCAATTTGTTAGTATTATGTTGAAGACTTTCACTTCTATATTCATAAGAGATATTGGTCTGTAGTTTTCTTGGGATGGTTTTGGTTTTGGTATCAAGGAAATACTGGCCTCATCGAATGAGCTGGGATATGTTTCCCCTGCTTCTGTTTTTTGGAATTGTTTCTGAAAATTTGGTATTATTTCCTCTTTAAATGTCTGATAGAACTCACCAGTGAAGCCATCTGGGCCAGGGCTTTTCTTTCTGGTAAGTTATTCATTCAAGAGAGCGAGCGCACACAAGAGTGCAGGGGGAGGGGCAGAGGGAGTGGGAGAGGGAGAGAGAGAATCCTCACACAGATTCCCTGTTGAGTGCGGAGCCCAACTCAGGGCTTGATCCCAGGACCCTGAGATCATGACCTGAGCCGAAATCAAGAGTCAGACGCTTAACGGACTAAGCCACCCAGGCACCCCCTTTCTGAAGTTTTAAACTAGTAAATTAAACTCTTGTTATGGGTCTATAAAGATTTTCTATTTCTTCTTGAGTCACTTTCAATAATTTTTATATTTCCAAAAATTTTCCCATCTTATTTAGGCTATTTAATTTATTGGCATACAGTTGTTCTTAGTATGCCCTTATAATCCTTTCATTCTGAAAACCAGTAGTGACATCCCCTCTTTATTCCTAATTTTAGTAATGAATCTTTTTTTCTTGTTAAGCCTACCTAAGGATTTGTCAGTATTTGTTGATCATTTCCAAGGTCCAATTTTTGGTTTCACTGATTTTCTCTATTATTTTTTCCATTCTCTATTTCATTAATTTCCACTCTAACCTTTAACATTTCTGTCCATCTGCTAGCTTTGGGTTTAGTTTGCTCATTTTTTTTTTCAGTGTCTTAAAGTGGAAGTCTAGGTTACTGATTTGAGACCTTTATTCATTTTTAATATAGGCATTAACAACTACAAATTTCTCTCTAAACACTGCTTTAGCTGCATCCCACAAATTTTGGTATATTATGTCTTTGTTTTTATTCATCAAAAAATTTCCATGTGATTTCTTCTTTGATCCATTATTTAATTAGGACTATGTTGTTTAATTTCCTCATATTAGTGAATTTCCCAAATTCCTTTATGTTATTGATTTATTTCATTCCATTGTGGTTGTAAAATATACTTTATATTATTTCATTCCTTTTAAGCTTATTTTTTTTCCTTTTAAGCTTACTGAGGCATGTTTCATGGCCTAATATATGGTCTATCCTGGAGAATGTTCTACGTGTACTTGAGAAGACTGTATACCCTGCTGTTGGAGTAGTCTATAGATGTCTATTAGGTTTATAGTATTATTAAGTCTTTGATGTCCTTGCAGATCTTGTTCCTAGTTGTTCTATCCATTTTTGAAAGTGAGGTATTGAAATGTCCAAATATTATTATTTGTCTATTTCTCCCTTCATTTCTGTCAGTGTTCGCTTCATGTATTTTGAGGCTTTGTTGCTAGGTCCATATATTTTTTAATAATAGTTAGCTTCCTGATGGGTTGACTCTTGTGTCATTATAAAATGTTCCTTTCTATTTCTAGTAATATTTTGTGTTTTAAAGTGTATTTTGTCTGTATAGCCACATCAGCTCTTTTATGGTTGGTGTTTGAATGGTAGATCTTTTTCCAACCTTTTACTTTCAACTTATTTGTATTTTTTTATAAAGATTTTATTTGTTTATATGAGAGAGAGAGAGAGAGCACATGAGGGGGGGAGGGTCAAAGGGAGAAGCAGACTCCCTGCTGAGCAGGGAGCCCAATGCGGGACTCAATCCCAGGACTCCAGGATCATGACCTGAACCGAAGGCAGCTGCTTAACCAACTGAGCCACCCAGGTGCCCCTCAACTTATTTGTATCTTTGAATCCATCATGTGCCTTCTGTAGACAGCATATCTTGTTATAGATCTTGTTTTTTTTTTAATTCAATCTGACAATTTCTATTTTTTTTTTTAAAGATTTTATTTATTTATTTGACAGAGAGAGACACAGCGAGAGAGGGAACACAAGCAGGGGGAGCGGGAGAGGGAGAAGAAGGCTTCCTGCCGAGCAGGGATCCCGATGCGGGGCTCGATCCCAGGACCCCGGGATCATGACCTGAGCCGAAGGCAGACGCTTAACGACTAAGCCACCCAGGCGCCCCGACAATTTCTACCTTTTGAGTAGATAGTTTAATCTACTCACATTATGTTATTACTGATATGTTTGGATTCATCTTTTCAAGTTTACTTTTTTTTAAATGTCATATCTTTTTTGTTCTTCCATTCTTTCTTTACTGTTTCCTTTTACATTAAGTGTGTGAGTATTTTTTAGGGTAGCATATTGATTCCTTTAATGATTATTTCACCCTATTTCTGAGTTATTTTCTTTTTAAAAATATTTTATTTATTTGACAGACAGCAAGCGCACAAGCAGTGGGAGCAGCAGGCAGAGGGAGAAGCAGGCTCCCCGCAGAGCAGGGAGCCCAACGCGGGGCTCGATCCCAGGACTCTGGGATCATGACCTGAGCTGAAGGCAGACGCTTAATGACTGAGCCACCTGGGCGCCCCTTGAGTTATTTTCTTAATGATTGCCCTTGTACTTATAATAAACATCTTATCAGAATCTACTTCAGATTTATATTAACTTAATTCCAGTGAAATATAGAAACATTATTCCTATACAGCTCTGTTCTCTTCCCTTTTTGTGCTATTATTGTTATGTAAATTATATCTAGATGTAACCACATAATTCATTATTATTACTATTACTTTATATAATTTGTTCTTTAATAAGCTGAGATGAAAGAAGAGCAAATATATATTTATAGAATTTGTTCTTATTTACCATTTCTGGTTCTCCTCATTTCTTCCTGTAGATTCATGTTACCACCTGATGCCATTTCTTTACTCAAATACAACTTTGCTCCCAGCCACCTCCTTTGTCAAATATATTACATTTCTATGTTATAGGGTCCATCAATACAATTATATAAACATTATTTTATATAATTGCTTTTTAAATCAGTTAAGAGAAGGGAGAAGAAATACACAACTATACTCTCTTTTAGAATTACCTACATCATATCTTTACTGGCAGTCTTTGTGTTTTCTGTGTGTGTGTGTGTGTGTGTGTAGATTCAAATTACTGTCTGGTATCACTTGCTTTCAGTCTAAAGTTCTTTTAGTATTTCTTGTAAGGTAGGTCTGCTAAAAACAAGATCACTTAGCTTTTGTTTATAAGGAAATGTCTTTATTTTTTTAAAGATTTTATTTATTTGAGAGAGAGCAAGAGTGAGAGAGCACAAGCAGGCAGAGGGGCAGATGGAGAGGGAGAAACAGACTCCCCGCTGAGCAGGGAACCCGACGCGGAGCTCGATCATGACCCGAGCCAAAGGCAGACGCTTAACTGACTGAGCCACCCAGGTGTCCCTTGTCTTCATTTTTGAAAGAAAGCTTCGTTATCTACACAATTCTTGGCTGATAGTATTTTACTTCAGCACTTTGAGTATGTTGTCCCACTGTCTTCTGGCCTCCATTGTTTTTGATGAGAATTCAGCTGTTAATTTTATTGGGGTTTGCTTGTATGTGATGAGTCATTTTATTTTGCTGCTTTCAAGTTTTTTTGTCTTTGCCTTTCAACATTTTGACATAACGTGTCTTGGTGTGGATCCCTTTGCATTTATTTTGGAGTTCATTGAGCTTCTTCAATGTGTAGATTTTTTTGCAGCAAATTTAGAAAATTTTCAGCCATTATTATCTTCGAACATGTTTACCGTTTCACTTACTGTTCTTGCGGAGCTACCAGTCTCTTAATTGCTCACCACCAAAATTTCCATTATTTTTGACAGCTCCTTTAGGTGTTAACTTCCCCAAACTCTGTCCCCAAATAAAGAGAGCCCCTTAGGGAGGGCTGCATGCCTATGGCTATTCCAATGGCCTGCCTCTCCCCCCACGACAGAACCTCTGTATCACTGCTCAAGACTGGGGAGTGGGGATAGTAGCCCACTTCCCTGAGTGACTTCTCTGTTCTATGAGTAGGGTGCTGGGCAGGGGCAGTACACTCTATTTTTCTTGGCTTGCCTCTCCTGACATGGAATCTATATCGTATGATTAAATGGGTTGGGGTAATCAGGCCAGCATTCTTGGCCTTTTGTAGCAGGAGTAGAGCTTCTGCCCTACAAATAGGGGCTAGGCAGAAGAAAGGATCCCCAGACCATCTTGGTTGCTCTTGCCTGAAGTAGAACTTCAGCAACATGTAGCTATGGGGGATGAAACGGAAGAAACCATAGCCACAGACTGGAAGTTGAGGAGTGAGGGGAGTGCCACAGACCCTTGCTTCTTACTGAGGTTTAGTAGATTTCCTTGAATAGAGTTTCTTCTCTATATGCCCTTCAGGACATATAGAGACTTTCAATGCCTGTTTTTATAAATTTCACTAGTTACGCTTCTTTTGCCGAGAGTGTTCACAAAGCTCCTCTTGCCACTATTCGAAAAGTACCTCTCCTCATTTCTTGACCCAATGCATCACATTCTGGCCAATTCTAAAAATTACCCATATCAATGTCCTTTCCAAGAATACTGTTACTACTCTAATTCAGGCCCTTACTATCTTTCTGGATGATGTAATATGTTCTTAACTTGTGTTCTGGCCTCCAGTTTCTCAATACTTCAGTTTGTTAAACACATTACTCTCAGATGTATCTTTTTAAAGCAGTACTTGGCTGATACCACTTTGTTTCTCAAAAACCTTAAAAATCTTTGCACTGCTAACAAAATAAAGCCCAAACTTCTTAGATCTTTAACAATCCAGCTTCATTTTGTCTTTCTGATGGAATGTTCTACCATCCTTCATCCCACCAGGACCATTCATCATTCCTCGAATATGCTTACAAAGTTGTCATCTCTGTGTCTTTGCTCTGGCTGTTCCATCTATCTGGAATGCCTGCACCTGTCTCTATCAAAGTCCTCCCTATTATTCAAGGCCTGTTCAGCTGTCATGTTTTCACTCGAACTGGAAATATGCTTTTCTTTCTCAATTACCTTGGTGGTTTAGGCCATTTGTAAAGCATAGATCTCTTTATTCCTTCAATTCGAGAAAACCATGCTTATGCCTCACCTTCCCCTTTGGATGAAGACATTCTTCAAGGGCAGAGCTCATATACTACTCATCTTTCTATTTTCCATGGTGTCTAGTGGGTAGTACGTGGCACATGGTTGACATTTAAGAAATACCTGTTAAATTCATGAATGTGTCACATTTTTTGGAGAGAACCAGTTGTTTGAAGAAAAGCTTTAATGTTAGTCAGCCCAAAGAAGGGTTTATTAGGTAGGCCTTTGAAAAAGTTGTAGTTACTTACTCGTTCTTTTAACTGGATTACTTCTTTGTCTTTTTGTTGTTTCCACTGTCTAAACTTCTCAGCATCCTCTTTCATCTGACGCATTAACTGTACCCGCTGGCTTTTCATCACCTGTAAAAACAAAACCCAGTACAAGTATTAGTCATCTGCACTTATTCTAGGCTGATGTGCAGATGGATAGACTAACTATTAAGAAGAGAGAAAACCCAGAGCTAAGCTGAGAAGGCTGCCAACAGATTTTCTGATTAGGCTTGCAATACCCCTTGCTATGCTTGCACAGGGTTTCCAAGTATAGACTACACAAATGAACATGCTGAAGAAACTTAAAAAAAAAATGTACCGACAGCTAAATCCAGCCCTAAATTCTTTGTATATAAATGAAATTTCAAGGAAATATCTACTAAGCCTCAAGGACAAATCCACCTAGCAACCAGTGTATTCTAAAGGTGCCAGTACAAAGTGGCCTGTGACTCCACTTTGCAGATGTCAGAAGTCGAATATTCAATAACTGAAAATATTTTCCAGATGTTGTCACTTTGCAACTACTCTACAAAATTATTCTACATAATCATGGAAGGTGGTCAGGATATCACCACAAAATATTGAGGTATCTTTCTCCTTTGGTTTCTGAGACTCTAACATTAAGCTCTGAATGCTCAAGCAGGGTTTTGTTATTCAGATTCTAGATGACTACCAGGACAATGTCCTGTAAAAGGGACATTTGGGGAGAGTCACACATTTGAAATGATGGCCCTGTCTGCTACCTTCTCACCTGACAATGCCTCTGTAGTATAATTCTAAATGGAACACCTATGTTTGTAAGTTTTAATGAAATAAACCCAAGGATGAGAGTTTATTACCCGTATCTCCTGGTTCAATTTGGAAACGGTATGCTCTGTGGATTCTTTCAGCTTCAGAAGTTTGGACTGCTCATTCAGTTTCTTCTTCAGATCGGCCATTTGACCCTCTAGGTCCTGGAGACGTTTACGGCGGCGCTCACTCAACCTAAAAACAGATGCTACAGGAGTGAAGACTAGCAGAGTGAAGCCTGACTTCAAAAGACAGAGCATTCGACTCCCAGGTTCACAATCCTGATATATATAAAATAGGTGATCAGTCATATAGCCATCTTTAAATAGTGAATAACCACCCAAACAACCAAAACCGTCTCAGTAATGGGAGGTCAATAACAAAGAGTAAAACAACAAATTTTTTGAGTATGTAACAATGCAATTGACTCAATACATTGCTCCCTACCACTATGTTAAAAAGATGGTTCTTTGAGGATATTTCACTTTAGTTTAGCTGTAAAGGAATAATTCTGATCATTATTACACTAGTCTGAGATTATTACTCTCGGCGGGAGGCCTGCTTCTCCCTCTCCCACTCCCCCTGCTCGTGTTCCTGCTCTCGTTATCTCTCTCTGTCAAATAAATAAATAAAATCTTTAAGAAAAAAAAGAACATGAACTTGAGACTCAACAGAGATACAGTCACTGAGTAAAAAGGAGGTAGAATAGCCAGTAAGGAAGAGGTCTGAGGAAGAGTAGGATATTCTAGTTATCTGTCTTGGTTTTATGCTTTTTTTTTTTTTTTAAGTAGGCTCCATGCCCAGCGTGGGGCCCAAAGTGGGGCTTGAACTCATGACCCGAGATCAAGACCTGAGCTGAGATTAGGAGTCTGATGTTTAACCGACTGAGCCACCCCGGGCACCCCTGTCTTGATTTTATTCTTAACTGACTAAGGGATGGCTAGATTGGTTTTTCATTTACTAGCCTGGAACATTAATTCTATTGACAAGCTAATCTGCCATCAGTGCAGGGACAAAGAAATGGTAGCTGTCTGGTAGGTCTGATAATCTTTCAAAATCCAGCTCAAATGCTAACTTCTCATAGAGCCTTTCTTGATCATGCCCGGCTAACCGGCTATCTCCTGACTCTGAACTCTTAAAGCAATTAACTGCCTACGAAATTTGTCTAGCTACTAATCACATGCTGTTGTGGCTTTCTTTTACTGTCGTCATGAGGTACTGTTTAAAATCTCAATTAACTTTTCTTTTGTTTAGATCTCCTCTCCACAACTAGGTGTAAATCCTGCGGGGGGGGGCAGGAAATGGCTCTTTTACTTCTCTATTTCCTTTTATAACTCCTCACACATAGTAGGGACTTGAAAAATAATACTTATTGGATGTATTCTCACTTGGCTTGGTTGACATCCTTCTTTGTTGTCTGGAGTTCAAGAACCAATTCTTCTTTTTCCTTTTGCAGATTGATGACTTCCAATTCTAGATTTTTTATGTTATCCTAGAAATGTTATAGGTCAGAGAGAAAGCATTAAAAGGCACGGGAAGAAAATCACTTAAAATAAAGAAAGTCACTTCAACATTCCACAGCTTAAGGAACTATGTATTCAATTTTACTTCAATCGCACACTATAAACATCTGTACTTGATTTAAGGAGATCAAAGTTATGTGGAATCCAAAAGCCTGGGTTTGAACCTTGAGTCCAGCACTTAATATCTAAATATCTTAAGGGAAGTCATTTCATCTCTTTTTAGCCTTAGTTTCTATGCAGAAAAGAGTTAATATAGCCCGAGATTGCTGTTCTTAAAAAAGGGCTGCTTGCAAGATTGGTCCTCGGCAGGTGGGTTTTGGTAGGGTTGCCATCATTTTGATAAGAGTGGCTCATTATGCCAAGAAACAGACTCTTAACCAGAGAGAACAAACTGATGGTTACCAGAGGGGAGGTGGGTGGAGGGATAGGTGAAATGGGTGATGGGGATTAAGGAGGGCACTTGCTGTGATGAGCACTGGGTGATGTATGGAATTGTTGAATCACTATATTGTACACCTGAAACTAATATGTACGTTAACTAACTGGAATTAAAACTTAAAAAAAATCCCTGGACTCCTAGACTCCAGGGGGCTTCCCTGATAGACAACATTTCACACATGTTGTCACAACCCATTGTTAGAGGAATTAAATTCATATTGTGTTACTCCACTGGGAGAAGACTCTTAGAAGCTTGCATCTGGTTTCCTTCAGCCTTTGCCTTTTCCCTCTGCTGATTCCGTTTTGTATCCTTCTACTGTAATAACTCATAGCTGTATGACTATATGCTGAGTCCTTTGAGTCATCCTGGCAAATTGTTAAACCTGGGGGGTGGTCTTGGGGACCCCCGAGAGTTTCCCTATCTATGTAAACAATTAACAACACCACTTACCTCACAGGGTTGTTGGGAAGATCAAATAAGGTAAAAAAGGAATGACATTTTGTAAATAGTAGAGGGCTGCACAAACATCCTTATATTCAGAACTTTCAAACATATATATTCAATACCAAGTGCAGTTCTGCATGCATTTAGGAAATGAATTCCAGAAACTGAATTTTAGTAGTTTCCAAGATTAGAAAAATCCAATAGATTCCTTCCTGTTCTCATAACCAAAAAATTAAAGGAAACTGGCTGAATGAGTGGTTGGTAGCCAAGAAGATTCTGTGCAGGTCTTAGACCAGTATTGAAATGACACAAAGAGTCAGGTTAGGTGGGGCTGTATGAGAGAAGCTTTCTAAATAGGCAAGAGCTGTTTTCCACAAAATCTCCTGGCCATGCTAGTACCCAGTAAAAATCAATCTCATTGCTTTATAGTTACCCTGCATATTTAAACCAGCAATAATGTGTGTGTGTGTGTGTGTGTATACACACTTAGGGAAGTAACACATGGAAACATTGTGGTAAAAAATAATCCAGATAATATATATAAAGGGCAAGTTCCTCTGCTGCCCTACTCTTCCAAAATTCCAGTCCCCTATCCAGAACTAACCACTGTTATCAGCCTGGTCCAGATCTTCCAGACATTTTTTCTAGACATTTACACATATATGTAAATACCTTAAAAATATGTGTAGCTAATAAATAAATATATTGTGTCAAATGTCTATAGTATTTATGTAAATAGATACAAAAGTAATATATACATACACACATATACATGTACATATTTGTGTGTACCTATTGAAATGTGTTAAAGTAGAATTACACTATATGTATATATTATTCTATAACTTGCTTTTTTCCAGTCTTAGAGATTTATTTATATCATTGCAAATAGATCTAACTCATATTTTTGCCATAATGAAATATTCTTGTGCATGTCTTCTGTGCCTATGTGCAAGGTTTTTCTAGGGTAAGAACAAGTGGAATTACAGAGTCATGGGGGTACACACTTTTAATCCTAATAGATACTGCTGCTAAATTTTCCTCTAAAGTGGCTATTCCAATTTACATTCCTGCTAGCTAAGTAGAGTACTTGTGTCCCTGCACCCTTACCAACATTTGATATTACTACACTTCAAAATTTTTACCAATCGGATGGGTGAGAAATAGTATCTTTTCATTATATATGCCACATTTAGTCAAAACTGTCTGACTCCACAAAGGGAGTTGACTCCTGGGTTACTATAACTCATGGCAATCCTCATTAATCAGAACCTATACCTCCTCAAATTTTTCTACAGCAATTCTTCAGTGATAGAAAAAATACTTAGAACAAGAAACTACCTTTATTTCTTAGAAAGAGTGATTTACATGTGATGAAAAGTTACTGTTTACAGTAAGAATTTGTTTCCTCCTTTTTAAAAATGTTTTATTTATTTACTTGACAGAGAAAGAGAGAGAGACACTTGACAAGCAGGGGAGTGGCAGGCAGAGGGAAAGGGAGAAGCAGGCTCCCCACTGAGCAGGAAGCCCGACATGGGGTTCGATTCCAGGACCCTGAGATCACGACCCGAGCTGAAACCAAGAGTTGGTCACTTAACTGACTACGCCAGGCAGGCGACCCTATGGTAATTTTATTTTTAATCTTTTGAGGAAACTTTATACTATTTTCCCCAGTGGCTGTGCCAGTCTGCATTCCCACTAACAGTGCATGAGTTTTCCTTTTTCTCCACATCCTCGCCAACACTTGTTGTTTCTTGTGTTTTTGATTTTAGTCATTCTGACAGGTGTGAGGTGATATCTCACTGCAGTTTTGATGTGTAATAATGTCTAAAATTTTTAAATTAATGTATTATACTGCCAAATCTTCTCTACAAAAATAAGGTAAGTGTCAGAAGGAACAGCTTAAAGAATTTGAAGTAGAAGCCTAGGGAACAGGGGAGAAGGTAGTAAGGCAGGAATTGCTTTTATTTTACTGTTTGGCTTTTACAAATGATATATATGCATCTGCCATAAAGAAAAATTAAGTGTAAAAAATGTTAAACAAGACTGTAATAAGAAAAAGGAAATAAAACCGCTCTCTGGGTTCAGACCTAGTTTGCAGTGACATGGCTAAATGCACCAAGAAGGTGGGAATCGTGGGTAAATATGGGACCTGTTATGGTGCCTCCCTCAGGAAAATGGTGAAGAAGATTGAAATAAGCCAGCACGCCAAGTACGCTTGTTCCTTCTGTGGGAAAACCAAGATGAAAAGAAGAGCTGTGGGGATCTGGTGTTGTGGCTCCTGCATGAAAACCATAGCTGGTGGCGCCTGGACCTACAACACGACTTCTGCCGTCACAGTAAAGTCCATCAGAAGACCGAAGGAGTTGAAAGACCAGTAGAAGCTCCACCATTTGAAACACTGCTAGCCTATAATAAATGGGTTAATTTATGTAACAAAATTACTTTGGCTTGTTAAATTTATTAATTAGATCTTTCAATTTGTGTTGCATTAGTTTTGCTTTCTCAAAGGATTTGGAAATTAAAAATTCTTCTAATTTTTATTGGAAAAAAAAGGAAATAAAACCTCTAATGGCAACTCAGCTATTATTTTGGAATACCCAAGGGGAATTCTCTATCCTAAGGAAAAAAAGCGTTGAAAATTCTTTAGGACAGACACTTTTCTTGTTTTTAGGGGAGCCTGTGGTAGAAATGCATGAATACTATCAGGATTTCTTGATTACCAGCATATAGGACCTGAGGGTGGTAGGATATAGCTAGACGGGGAAACAATCCACCCTTTCCTCTACCAGCACAGCCAACATCACTTTGTGGATGGGAAACACTGAGCTACAATGGAAAATAAGGTCTGAAGCAAGGGTAACTCTGTGGAATAACCTGAAAGCCAAAGACTTGGCTTTCAGTAAAGACCTGATTATAAATTAGCAAGGGCCAGATAGAACTACCACTAGGAAAAACAGTTTAGTCATTTGCCAAGTCAAGTGATATCCATTATAAGTCTCTTCCTAATTCACACTATAACCAAGGCCATCTACTAAGAGATCTATCTTTCTTAGAATCTCAGTACGGTTATTAGAACAAAATTTCTCCACAAGTAGGGACCACATTTATTATTATGTTATCAAACTATTTATTAAATACCTATTGTATAAGGTAAGGTATTAGATTAAATGAAACAAAATTGCAGGTTCCCTATCCTGAATGTATCCTTTTTTGGAAACCAACAATGCAACTCCATGTGTACTAGGCACATTATGTTGTCCCATCATCATCAAGAACAGTGTGCCTGTTCTCTTCCCATACAATTAAAGAGAGATGGTAGACATGAACAAATGCTGCTCTTGTAAATATTTTACCTGGTACTGGAAATGAATGGGCTGTAGTTGGCTGTCATTCTGAGTCATCTTTCTGGCTAGGGCCTCTTTCAGTGCAAGGGCTTTATTCAACTCAACCAGCTCCTTAGACATCTGAGCTTGACGTAGAGCATGTTGAGTAGTGAAAGCATCAGAAGATCTACTGGTCTCTGGACTGGTTTCCACTTGCTGGAAAAGATCACGATAATGATTTGTAAGAGAAACAAGCCATTGGAGTTCCTTAGGTCCTGCTTCATCAGGTCTCACAGCCACTTCTCCATTGTTAGTACCTCTGTTCTTTTAAAAATATGGCTTCTCATACATTTGCATTAAACATATAAGATGAATCGAGCCTACCTATTTTCCTGCTCTCATGGCACCTTATTTCTTATATCCTTTAACTGACTCTTCTAGAGTAAACTAAATTTCTTGCTCTTTCCTTTATTGATTGGGCTAACATTTCTTAACTTTGACGTCATCCTAAGGGGTCTTTACAGGAGAAAGAGTTCTGGAAGTGGCACTTTAGGAATGGTGGAAATGGAGAGGAGGCTTCGTTTATTCTTACAGAGCTCACCTCTGGCACCCAATTTATCTCCTATCTTTCTTCTTTCAGAATATAAAAAATATTGATACATGTTTGTTTCAGGGGGAAAAGATGTCTCAAGCAAACCATTGTCTAGCCTTCCATTTTGACTTTACTCTATAACCTTTAGCCAACATCTAATATGTTTTATCTATTCTTGCAACTCAAACACTCTAGACATTCTCCTTGGTTCTTTTAGCTCCTACCCATCCCAACCATAGAAAAAGTGTGATGAGAAAAAAATCTCTTCCATGTCTTCTCTGATGCTTTTTTGACTTTGCCAGAATTTCCTGATTTGTTCCTTTCTTCATTCCAACTTGCTAGACAGCTGATGCAGAATACTAACATCTAACAAGGAATCGGTAAGCCAGATTGCAAATAAGGACAATGACATCCCTGAGATGCCCTACCAGTTATACTATTAGACATGGAGCCTATCCAATTTAGGGTTTTCCAAAGCTGACATTTACACTCAAGATTTCTGGATTTCCCAGGTATTCTATGGAGGATGGTAACAATTGGGGACACTCATCCTCAGCTGAGTGATAAATTACAGGAAATGGCACAGTTAAAGCTCCCAGTTCTACACAAAGCCAATTACTTACAGCTTCTGGTTCCACTGCAGTATCAATGGCTGCAGCCATGCAAGCAACAGTTTCGTCCTGCAATGACAAATGATGTTTCAGTTTAGGAAAAGACTCTGAAGTGAAGCTTACTAGGGGATTTTATATTGGTTATTCAATTTTTTTCAAGTGTATATAGAAACCATTTAAGGTGCTGGGCCCATTTTGTGCACACATACACCCAAAACCACAGATTTCCATGTCCCACCTCTTAAGAATCTATCCTCGTTACAAGGTTGATTGTGTAGTCTTTGTAAAAAAAAAAAAAAAAAGGGTCATGTGGCAATTGACATATATATTGCACATCTCCTGCTCCGTCAGAGATCAATGGGCCAGAGTGAAACATCAGCTGTGTTCTCACAGGCCAAAGTTCAACCCGTTTTATAGACTCTACTCTTTATGTTTTTACCACTAAGTCTACCTCTATAACGTACAGGTCTAGCCAGTTCTCATGGACATACCACCCTAAAAAGACATACAAAATAAAGGCAATGCAGTAGAAAAGTGAATAGAATGAAAGGTTATTTGGTATTTTTATTTTACAGTCAGTCGAGGTAGCAAGAGCCTACTCTAGAAGGAAATACATTCCACAGGTTGACACCCCAGAAGGATGTGCTCGTGAAGTCAGACAAATATCCTGCAGCTCCTCTCCCTCATATACATAAGAACCAAGCAATCATAGGCAGCTATTCCAGGTAGTGGTTACTTGAAGGGAAAGGGTGAGCACGGATTCCCTTCTAGAGAAGGGCTATTCCTCTTCTGGGCTCTGGAACAACAGCCATCTAAAAGGGAAACCTAAAACCACTTATTGGGACTAATTTGTTTATAGGCTATCATACGAGCAAGCTCTGTTCTCCCCACTGGAATTTAAGCTTTATTTGGCATTGGACTATATGGATTACCACCTCTGTTTAAGTGATTCTGCAAGCCCTGGGAAGAAAGGATTCTTTCCAGGAAGTCACATGATTAAAGAGGTCATAGGTGAAAGAGCTATTGGCTCAATAGCAAGGAAAGAATTTAGGGTGAGCACACGGAGTGTCTGCATCGGCCCAGTGAAACATTACATAGTTGTTGACTTGAATCTCAGTACCTTCAAGGCAAGGAGCAAAGAGGCCTTAGTAAGTGCTATTTGTAAAGCACGTCCCCTGCCCAGAAATTCCCAATCAGTGAGACTCAAAGAAAATCCAGAGGAAGCTCCAGTGTTACCACATCCCTTCTCCTCATGTTTTACAATACAGGTGATTCTCCAAGGGCCAGACATGAGATCCTTCTTGAAAAATAGCACTTCGATATACTATACGTTAATGGTTACCCTTTCTTCCCTCCCATATTCTCGGTTTCAGTAAATGGACTACTTACAGACCTATCCCAGATTAGTAAAGCCTGTAACACTGGCTTTTGGAGACTTTTTTCTAGTACCTTCCAGAGGGTCAGGATCAAAGTAGATGGGTTAATCTTTGAAGAAGACATGTTACTGTGGGTTTACCTTTTGGTCTATGGCCCAATAAAATTTTATAATGCGAAAGTTTAAGCTTTGGTGACACGTTCTACATGAACATGGTAGGATTCTGTCTTCATAATCCTAAATATAAATACGTAACAATAGGATTTATTTCAATCTAACTCTCTCTCTCATTCTAAGGCTGCAACGGAGAACCTCTCGTAAGGTAAAAATACATGATTTGTTGAGGGCGATGGTCAGGGAAAGAAAGCTAGGGTACACTGAGCTATATTAACCAGCAATACCTTCCCATATGAATTTCGCACTTGGAGGCTGTAGGCAATACCATTACTGGGCATGCAAAATGCCTTTTATGGAACTGGTCTTAGAGGAGGGGGTAAAAGCAGGGACAACAAAATTTGATTTTGTGGAAACTGAAAGGACTGCATGAATTTCCTCACAGGTGACTGCAGCAAGGAGGTTTGTTTGAATTGTATTTTAAAGGAAGAAATGGTACAGTTTAGTGCTTAAAACCCCAGGAGGAAGATTCGGGAACAATGGCTGCCTTCATCACTGAAAAGGGGGTGTTCACCCATCACTTAAAATAAAAATAGTTTTAATCCAGAACGAAGGGCACAAGCACTTATATTTGAAACATTTTGCTTTCACTGTAGTGAGTCTTAATAAAAGCCACAGGATACATTGTTGTGTATTTCCAAAAAATATATAGCTGGGAGGGTCCCAAACAATAGACATGGAGAACTCTGATTCAAGAGTCCAGCAGGAGCCCTGGGCCAAAGGGTTTACTCGGACTAACTGTGACAGTGGAGGGAAGCCAGGGACTTTATCAGCTTGCGGCAATCTTTGGTACCTTTGTGCTTCATGCGTCAAGTGAATGTTAGTGGCAGAATTCAGCGATTCTACAGAGTTCCTCTGAGTCAGCCACCACTAGCAACTTCCTCTAGAGGCACACCAGGCACCAGTCATATCAGCAGATCCTCACCGCGGATATGCCTTCTCTTCTGTTAACAACTTGTTTCCATGGGTTTCCTTCATCATTCCCACGTGATTTGAAGCCCCAGAAATGAGGTGGTGGGAAATCCTCTAAGATTGGTGTGGCGGCCATGAACAACAGTGGCCTGGGTCACTCTTTTGGGATCATATAAGCTTTAGCTCCAGTACGGTCCCACAGCCTAGATTATCTTAATTCCGAGGCAGCTCACACAAAGTGTTCATACATCAGATGTTTCAGCTATATTTAAGTGGAGTTATCGCTGGTGAAATTTCACCTTGTGATAGCCATTCTCTGGCGTACACTCTATAATTTAGCCACAATGAAGTCCTTATCATGTTCTAAACTTTCATCCCTTTTCGCTTTGGCATATACCTTTTTCTTTACATAGATTGTCTTTTTCCCTTTGTGGGACAAATTTCTATTCATTTCTTAGAGCCCAGTTTCTTCTGTACTGACTTCTTCAATTTTCTAGGCTGTTAATCACCCTTTGCTCATATTGCTAATGTAAGAGGATTAAAACAGAGAGAGGATTCTTAGTTTTCCTTGCCTCCTTTCCCCCTTCTTTGCCACCTCTCCCACTTGTGCACCTTAACCAACGAACAAACTATAAGGCTTGAGAGAATGACCCTTGAAAATATTTGGACAGTTAGCAGGATGGGGTTGCACCAATGTTCTTAATTTAAGCAAGAGGTACGAAAACTGGAAGAGCCTCCAACCAAAAGTTTCATGGCAATTACCCAGAACTGCTACCTGAGCCAAACCACAAGGACACACCCCCCTCTCTTCTCACCCTACACAACTCCAGTCCGGCTTTGACTCAGGGAGTTACCTGGAGTTCAGGAGCTCCCCGAGTGCCTCGGCTGAATAATGCCTTCAGCCTCTTTTGGAGCCACTTAAACTATTTTCTTTGATAGTAATACAGTACTTAGCAAGGTCACACAGCTAGTGAGTGGCAGAACTGGCTTCCAACCAGGGTCTGTCTGGCTCTGGAGCCCAGGTTCTCAACTGCTGTGGTCTGGGTGTTGGACAAATGAGCTGTCATCTCGGACTGCTTGGAACAGTGTTGTACAGTATTACTTGTTCTAAAACACTGCTTTCTAGTCTTTTGGGGAGTTTACTCATTTAATTTATTGGCACTCATCCTAACCCTTCCTCCCACAAGACTGCATGGTATTTTTTTAATTAATTTTTTTAATTTACTCTTTCAGAGTAAAATGCAGGTGTAGATGATTCTGTGATACCATTTTGACAAGTCTAGGAAACACTGGGCAAGCCCTGAGATGAAGAATCACTATTCTGGTAAAGTTAAAGCCTCTCCCCAAGAGCTAGAAATTACCACCAGTCATTTACGAACATGTCACGGGTTCAGAATGATAAACGAGAGGGTATAGATGGAACAAAACCAACCATAACCCCTTAACCAACCATAACCCCTTAACATAACATGATTTCAACTTCAAAAAAAAAAAGTATATATGCCTAAGGGCTAAAATAGAGAAGGAACACCAACAGTAAAAGGTCTTTAGGGTGGTAGGATTCTAAGAACTTTTCTTCTGGGAAAAACAAATACCCGTCGCCCAACCCCCTCCCCCCCCCACTACTACTATTGTAGTTCTAAAAATAAATAAAGATGGCAACTTCTAGAATGATCATTCAAACTAATTTGTTACTGGTTAGAAAGGAGAGCCATGGTATTCCCTGGTTGCTCTGAGTTATCTGTCAGAAGAACCCAGCGTGTTTAAAATTGAGGTATGGCACAAGGCCTCTTGTTAAGCTAGCCTACACTGAAGGGACAGCAAGTCAATGACTGCCGCCCGGGCTACCAGGCAATTTTGCAACTGCTCTGTTGCTGTATCCAGCATTTGATTCAAGCACTGAAATATGAATGTGCCATTGCATATGTAACCTGTGAGTGTCTTGATTTAACGAATTCAGTATTCAGATCATATCCAATGATCCATGATCTCCATCCTCAAATGGCTCACAATCTAGTTTGTTCGGCAAAAGGCAGAGTTAGATATGTTTATATGCAGCAAGAGAGACAAACGAAAGCAGTTAAGTCTATTTACACTGTCACCCCCCAACCTTGGCTTACCGATAGCTGGGTTATCACTTGCTGCAGGTTACGAATTATCTCTACGTTTTCTTTTAATTCCTGGTCTTCCAAAGTTTCCACTAACTTTTGAAGATCCACTTTGAGGCTGAAAATTCAAACAAAGGCACCCAAAGTTTAATCATACTGCAAAGACCAGAGGATTGATGATTATACACTAAGGTCACTAACAGACATTTGGTACGAAACTTACGCTGCATGCTGCCTGAGTTCCTCTAGCTTGGCATTCATCTTTTCATTCGCTTGTTCTGTCTGCAACAGAGACCCAGGAGATCATCAGTGACGATGCCTGACAGCTTCACCTAATTATGCCCTCTCTCCTACCCCTAATGCATTAAAACCTAGGTAGAGAGGTTGCCTCCTTTGCTGTAATCGAGGTTTTAGTGGGCTTTGGTGATTTAGTGAGAAATGGTATTTTTTTTTTAACAGAGTCATGGAAATTAGCCCTTCAGTCAACATGAACTACTAAAAATAGCATCCAAGCAGCTGGGTCTTATGCTTGCCATGAAGCTCAGACTATGGTGTGGAGTGTGAAGCCTTAATTCCATATAGAACTTTGCAACTGGGGGAAAAAGCAATACTTCCTGGCACGCCACTCACTGCTGTTTGCAAAAAACCCACTTACTTTAAACGGCCTCCTACACTATACAGTTCCCTAGCCCCAGCATAAGGGCATCGCGAAAACGTAAAAGGGCCTCACACTGAATATGAGCTGAGCTTTTTTTTCAAGTTACACTATCTGATATGGTAGGCTAGTTTTAGTAAGAGAAAGCAAGAAAAAGGGTGAGGCACAAGAATATGGCCGAGAAGAAATGGCAGAGGGAGACACATTTTGGGAAGGGTGATTGATATTTTCCATTTTATCTCACTCACAGGATCTGTAACATGCGAGACGCTGCAACAGATTTGGGAAGAACAGCTTACAGAGGACAAAAATGTTGTGCTTGTCATGACATTTTAACGGGACATCAAGCAATAAGCCTTCCCGTAGCCATTATAGCAACCTTATAAAGTTCAAGTTCAGATGGGTATGTGGCTAGAGTAACAGGTTCCGTCTGTTACGTCAGCCACACTCGCATATGTGTGAAACATAGCTTCTAGAGTTACTTCAGAGGTACAGAATGCAGCACTGGAGACAGAAAACTGTATATAAAAATCCTCCAGTTTCCATTTTCACCCTTCCAGTAGCAATGGACAATGGATATAGAATTTGGCCCCCTTTAAAGAATCTTGAAGCAGCATACGCCTCCTTGACTAGAGAGTGCACAGATGCGTGAAGGTGTGTAAATCACAGATGTTCAATTACATTTTGGTGGAAACTCATTTTCGCTTTTGGCAATAGTTGTGCAATTAAAAACTGAGTTGTATTTAGACTAGTAGAAAAATGTTAGCGGCAGAGCCAGCATGCACTGATCCGGGTTACTTTCAGACAGGTAGTAGGATACAGAACTGGAGTAATCAGTTACGTAGTGATCCACTATTTGGAAATTAACCATATGTGAAAGGAATTAACATTAATTTCCCAGCTGTTATATCTCACCATGGCAGCTGTTAGGACAGAATACGAAATATGACATTAGGGGAAAGGAGGTACAGAAGACCTAAAATCTTACTGAGGGGACAGTTACTTGATATTACGGATAAAGATTAGGCAGGACTTTAGGTGACAGAAGGACCTGGTTCTTTCCCCTCTGGCATTTTAGAACAAATCTACTTTAAAATGAGATCCATGTGGATTCTCTGTGGTGGATTTATACGATTCTTTTAACTTTTCTGTATGTTTTATAAGCCCATGTGTTTACCCTGGAGAGGCTCCATGGCGGATATGGTGATATTAATCCATTCCTTTCCACATAACTTGTCTCTCATAATGAGAAGCATGTTAAATATTTCAGAAACCAAAGCTAGTAAACGTCCAGATTGCTAGTGGTTCAGTCATGGAGGCCTCACCAAAATGATCCTCTCCAACATCTGGGCTGTCTGACCAGCTGCCTCGCTCAGACCACGACTTAATTTTTCATTCTCCTCTACCAGGGACTGATTCTTCTCCATCAGGGACTGTAGACTTTCTGATGGTTCCACACTAAAACAAAGAAACAGACCTATTAATAACACCGATATCAGAGGTGGATAAAAATAGATCCCATAGACCTTTTAGGTGTGTGTGTGGGGTTTGGTTTAAAATTAGCCCCCAAGGGGCGCCTGGGTGGCTCAGTTGTTAAGCGTCTGCCTTAGGCTCAGGTCCTGATCCCAGGGCCCTGGGATCGAGCCCTGCATCGGGCTCCCTCCTCAGCGGGAAGCCTGCTTCTCCCTCTCCCACTCACCCTGCTTGTGTTCCCTCTCTCGCTGTGTCTCTCTCTGTCAAATAAATAAATAAAATCTTTAAAAAAATAATAAAATAAAATAAAATTAACCCTCAAAAGCCTGGAAAAAAGTGTGTCCATTCCAATTCCAGTCAGGTCGTATACTGAATGAATAAGAAACATATGCCTGAAATACTTTGAATTAATGGTTTGCAGGAAGGTAATAATTCAGAGCCAGCCATGGTGCAACAGAAATGACTAACCTCTACCCTTAGCTCTTAGTTTAAGATCTTTCTATTTGTACCATGTAGCTAAGAAGTGAAGGCTAAGCAAAATAAGTCAATCAGAGAAAGACAATTATCGTATGATCTCATTCATATGTGGAATTTAAGAAACAAAACAGATGAACATAGGGGAGGGGAGAGAAAAATAAAGCAAGATGAAATCAGAGAGGGAGACAAACCGTAAGAGTCTCTTAACTCTAGGAAACAAACTGAGGGTTGCTGGAGGGGAGGGGGTGGGGGAAGGGGGTAACTGGGTGATACACTCTATGTTAATTGAATTTAAATAAAAAACAAACAAAAGAAGTGAAGGCTAACTGTAGCTAAGATACAAGTGTCTCCCTCGTCTTCCCACTCTCAATCCCTCATTAACGATTTAGGACAGCAAGGAAGGAAGAAGTAGGGAGGAGGCAGAAGTGACTCCGCTCAGGGCTGAACTTTAACCTCATCAATATAAAGTCAACTACCTATTTACTGAAGTTTAGGGAAACAGCAATTAAGAAGTCAGAGAGTTGATATAATGACCAGTGGCCACTGACAGCACATTTCACAATTCTCCATAAGTGTTCCCTTGCTAAATGCCTGCCTTGCTTGAAACCTCTTGTTCATTTGTCTATCAATTTTAAATTGCTTAGAGTGGGTGGTGGCAACAATGGTGTCCATATCAAGCAGGAGTGGAAGGGAGGAACAGAAATAGCTTGAAGGAATACATATAGATAAGAACCTTTGGAACTTATGCAGATTACTTGGTATAAGTTCCAGGCTAATGGAAAAGACCAACAAGATGGACAGTTTTGGTTTGTTCGTTTTGGAATCCACTGGGATTCGTTGTTCAAAAGACTGGAAAATAGGACTGGTGAAAAAAGATCAGAAGAAATATGAAGATTTGGATCTGAAGGAGCCTGAAGGGAAAAATGAATAGTTGTCAAGGCTATAATAAAGAGAAAAAAGAAGGACGGGGAACAGCTGTTCTCAATCTCAATAAAGAAGCGAAAAGGAGGGGCGCCTGGGTGGCTCAGTCGTTAAGCGTCTGCCTTCGGCTCAGGTCATGATCCCAGGGTCCTGGGATCGAGCCCCGCATCAGGCTCCCTGCTCCACGGGAAGCCTGCTTCTCCCTCTCCCTCTCCCACTCCCCCTGCTTGTGTTCCTGCTCTCGCTATCTCTCTCTGTGTCAAATAAATAAATAAAATCTTAAAAAAAAAAAAAGAAAAGGATTTCAGGAATAGATGCCCTCTCACCCAGCTTAAGACCTCCAGGAATTCTTAACAGAAAATCTTAGCATGCTCTTTATCACGAAGTTAACAGCAAGGCCACACCATAAGGTCTAATGTTATACTACTGAGAATTTACTAAGACTCTTTTTAAAAATTATTTTTAATTAAAATTTTTTTTCTTAAAGATTTTTATTTGTTTATGTGAGAGAGAGAGAGAGCGCGCGCGCAAGTGCACAAGCAGGGGGCTGAGTGCAGAGCCTATACGGGGCCCGATCTCACCACCCCAAAATCATGACCTGAGCCGAAATCAAGAGTGGAACACTCACTGACTGAGCAACCCAGGTGTCCCGAGAATTTAAGACTCTTATGAAAGAATGTTCAGTTAAAATGTGGATTATAAAGATAAACTATTGGCAAATTTAGTGTTTAGATTGCTCTGATATTTTCTTATTGTTATTAAGCTGAAAACTTCCATGCATCATTTATGTAAGTTGACAAGCTCCAAAGTAATGATACTTTTAACTCAGTTTTTTCTCCTAAAAATTTCCAAGGTTTCTCTAAATGGGGGGGAAACACAATGGAAAACCAGTGTTTCCTCTTTTGCAGGCTATTTAATTGTCAATGCTTGGAATTCAAGTTAGCTGAGCATGTGCAAATTGATTAATGCTCACAGAAAATCAATGCAAAATCTTCCATGACACACATTCAAAAAGAAAAGAATATAATCGTAGGACAAAAAGCAAAAAAAAAAAAATCCATTCGTATGGACTGTACATTTTGTAAAAAGCCTTTATGAGATGTCTCTTTTTTTATTTGAGAAAGTGAGCGAGAGAGCATGAGCAGGGGGAGGGGCAGAGGGAGAGGGAGAAGCAGACTCCCCACTGAGCAGGGAGCCCGATGCGGGACTCGATTCCAGGACCCTGGGATCATGACCTGAGCCGAAGGGAGATGCTTAACCGACTGGGCCACCCAGGCACCCTGAAATGTCTCTTAAAATATACATTTTTGAGAAAAGAAGTAGCATCTTTATTTCTCTGTAAAATGTTGAACAGCTGAATTCACTGTTTGATTCATCAACTGTTTCTTAGAATCTATCTTTGTGTAGCTGAAACTATATCCTGTAGTATATTCTTGGTGGTTGGAAGTCTGGAATAGTTTTCATTGGTCTTGTGTTCATTAGTCTTGTCTTATATAAAACAGGTCTGTGCTAAACTGAAAGGAAAGGAAGATGGGTCAGTTGCTTCTAGACTGGTTAAACCAGGGGCACCTGGGTGACTCAGTTAAGTGTCTGACTCTTGATTTCAGCTCAGGTCATGATCTCAGGGTTGTGAAATTGAGCCCCGCATTGGGCTCTGCACTCAGTGGGGAGTCTGCTGGAGATTCTCTCTTTCCCTCTCCCTTTGCCCCTCCCCCTGCTTGTGCTCTCTTTCAATAAATAGTCTTAAAAAAATGAAATAGAGTGGTTAAACTAAATTAGGTCTTTAAGAGATCCTTTAAGAGATCCCAGCTTTCCTCAGTTTCTTTATCCAACATTCTTAAATTATTATCAGGAAACCAAGATTAAATTACCCAAAGAGGGAAAATTACAAAGAGAAGGGTGGTCAACTTTGGGTGATAAAATTATGGCAATTTTAAGATTTATTCTTTATACTTTTCTAAATGTTCTACAAGAAGCAATGTACCCCTTTAAAATGAGAAAAAAATGATTAAGAGTTATTGAAAATAAGGATATTAAAAGAAAATAAGCTCACACATACACAAGAATAAACTCCAAAAGAAAACATGAAATGTAAAAAATAAAACCAACATAAGTTCTAGAAGGAAACATGGGCAAATGCCTCTTTAACCTTGGTGTAGGGAAGGGCATTCATGGCAGTATTCTCTATAACCAAAGGATGGAAGCAACCTGTGTCCCCTGATAGATGAATGGATACACAACGTGTGGTATACATGTACAATGGGATATTATTCAGCCTTTAAAAGAAAGGGATGTATGATGATTAACATAATAATAAAAAAAATTTTTTAAATAAAAGGGAATTTTTTTTAAAGATTTTATTTATTTATTTGACAGAGAGAGTGAGAGAGGGAACACAAGCAGGGGGAGTGGGAGAGGGAGAAGCAGGCTTCCCGCCGAGCAGGGAGCCTGACGCGGGGCTCGATCCCAGGACCCTGAGATCATGACCTGAGCTGAAGGCAGACGCTTAACGACTGAGCCACCCAGGCGCCCCAAAAGAAAAGGAATTCTGACACATGCTACAACATGGATGAAACTTGAGGATATTATACTGAGACAAGACAGTCACGAAAGGACAAATACTGTATGATTTCACTCATATGAGATGCCTAAAATAACTAAATGAAAGTAGAAGGGTGATTGCCAAGACTGAGGGGAGAGGGGGAATTGGGTGTTATTGTTTAACAGGTACAGACTTTCAGTTTTGCAAGATGAAAAAAGTTTTAGATGATAGATGGTGGTGATGGCTGTACAGTACTGTGAACGTACTTAACGCCACTGAACTGTATACTTGAAAATGGTTAAAATGGTGAATTTTATTTTATGTATATTTTACCACATTTTTTTCAAAAGGTCCCAAGGATCAAAAAACCTGATAGAAAAATGGGACATATGAACAGATAATTCATTAGAAAGAGATAAAAGTGGCCCTGAGACATATGGAAAAAAAAAGCTCAGATCTGCTCATAATTAAAGAAATGAAAATTAAAACAAGATATTGAGATAGCATGTGTCACCTATCAGACTGGCAAAAAACTGAAGAGGTATGACAACACATTCCACTGGTGAGGCTCCAGGGAAACAAGCGCTCTCATACATTGCTGTTGGGAATGCAAATTGGTATAGCCCATATTCTGGAAGGGAATATGGCAATATGGCAATATCCAACAAAATCACACATGCACTTACCTTTTGCCTCAGCAATCCCATTTCTAGAAATCTACCCTGAAGATAAATCACTGATAATATGAAAACTGAATAACACAAGGTTATTTATTGCAATGTGTTTGTAATTACAAAATACTGGAAACATATCTACGGCCATACCACCCTGAACGTGCCCTATCTCGTCAAAATACTGGAAACAACCTAAATGCCCCTACATAGGAAAGCTGTTGAATTAATGTTTGGCTCATGTACACTAACAAGAGTACCATGCAGCTGTAAAACAGAATGAGGAAGACATCTAAGAACTGGTAAGAAATGATTTCCAGGAAATGCTGAAAAGAGGAAAGCCACAAAGACTATCTGTAGTATACCACCATTCATATAAGAAGAGGATATGAAAAAATATAGAAGTATATGCTCATTTGTACAGGAGAAATACAGGAAGGCTACGCCAGAAACTGAAGAGAATGGTTAAATATGGAGGAGGGAGAAAAGTGGTAGAAATAAGGGTACAATGGGGATAGGGTGGCAGGGACGAAGAGGGAATGACATTTCATCGAATATTTTTTTTAAAGATTTATTTATTTGACAGAGAGAGACACAGGGAGAGCGGGAACACAAGCAGGGGGAGTGGGAGAGGGAGAAGCAGGCTTCCTGCCGAGCAGGGAGCCCGATGCGGGGCTCGATCCCAGGATCGACCTGAGACGAAGGCAGACGCTTAATGACTGAGCCACCCAGGCGCCCCCGAATATTTTTTTTTAAATACTGTGGTAAAAAACATGTAACAAAATTTACCATCCTCACCATTTTTTAAGTGTACATACAGTTCAGTAGACTTAAGTATATTCACATTATTGTGCACTGGATCTCCAGAACTCTTTCATCTTGCAAATCTGAAGCTTCATACCCATTCAACAATTCCCTCCCTGTTGCCACCCCCACCCCAGTCTATTCTTTCACAGTTTTCTGCCATTGCTTTTATTTCTACACTGTTCTTTATGTTCACCTATATGGACATAGACCTTTGCCTATGTTTTCCTCTAGTTCTTTTGTGGGTTTTTCTGTTTTTAAAAAAAAATGTGTAAAAACATATAAAACTGGGGCGCCTGGGTGGTTCAAACATTAAGCATCTGACTTTTGGTTTCAGCTCTGGTCATGATCTCAGGGTCGTGAGATCGAGCCCTGATTCAGGCTCTGTGCTCAGCGGGGAGTCTGCTTGAGATTCCTTCCTTCTCCCTCTGTGCCCACTACTCACGCATGCCTTCTCTCTCTCTAAAATAAATAAATGAATCTTTAAAAACAACATATAAAACTGTCTTAACCACTGTTAAGTGTACAGTTGAGTAGTGTTAAGTATATTTACATTGTTGTAAAACAGATCTCTAGAACTTTTATCTGGTAAAACTGAAACCTTATACCCATTAAACAACAACTCCCTTTTTGCCCCTCCCCTCCCCAGCCCCGGCGCACCACCATTCTAGTTTCTGTTTCTATGAATTTGACTCCTTTAAGTATCTCATATAGGTGGAATCATACAGTATTTTTTTGTGACTGACTTATTTCACTTAGCATAATGTCTTCAAATTTCATTCATACCGTAACATGTAATAAAATTTCCTTCCTTTTTAAGGCTGAATAATATTCCACCACACACACACACACACACACACACACACCCCATATTTGCTTTATCCATTCATCCACTGATGGACATTTGTGTTGCTTCTACTTCCTGGCTATTGGGAATAGTTCTGCTATGAACATGGGTGTGCAGATATTTCTTTAAGACCATGCTTTCAATTCTTTTGGCTATATACCCAGAAGTGGGATTGCTGGATCATGTGGTAATTCTATTTTTAACTTTCTGAGGAACCTCCATACTGTTTTCCATAAGCAGTTATACTATTTTACAATCCTTCCGGCAGTGTACAAAGCTTCTAATTTTTCCACATCCTTGCCAACATTTGTTACTCAGTTTTTTTAAAGGTTTTCTTTTATTTGAGAGAGAAAGAGCGCATGAGCAGGGGGAGAGCAGAGGGAGAAGCAGACTCCCGGCTGAGCAGGGAGCCAGACGTGGGGCTCAATCCCAGGACCCTGAGCCAAAGGCAGACGCTTAACCAACTGAGCCACCCAGGTGCCCCTCAGTTTTTTTTTATATTAGCCATCCTAATGGGTGTATGGTGATATTTCATTGTGGTTTTGATTTGCATTTCACTGCTATTTCTTTTTGTAGAACTCTGACTCTTAGAGCATCATAATATTTCATATACCCTTCACATACCCGAAACATAAACAAACAATTAAAACCAACCAAGTTGGTTGGTTGTATCCCTAAAATGGAATACAAACAGTAACTGTGGGAACCAGTATCTTGCCTGGATACTCTAAGCCTAAAGACAAAAAGAATTGTACATAAATGCTGTAATCTAGTTCATAAAAGTATGGGCCAGCAATTCTGAAACTATGTGTATATTGGAACTGAACAAGTCAATAGATTGCAGATAATGAGAGTTGGTTTCTCACTGTTGGAAAAAGGAGTTATAAATAAGGGGAGGAGGAAGGCTAAAATGAACTCTGTAGTGTTGGACTGGAATCAGAGGTATCAGTATAAAATCATGGCCTTTATTATATATACAGATGGATATAAAAATATATATATGAGTGTATGTGTGCATTACTAGACATACAGATATTTCCTAGCTCTACCCACTGAGAGGGCCTCAGGGACACCCTAGCAACAATGAGCACACCTAGCACCCAGATTGCGTTTCTAAACACTATTTTCCAATAAAAAAAAAAAAATCAGGGCTCTTTGGAGATATGGTTGAATCTAGGACTGGGGCAAGAAAAATACAAGATTGGTGTGGAACATCTCCTGAAAATGCTTAAAAACTAGAGGGTGGGGGAGCCTGGGTAGCTCAGTTGGTTGAGTAGCAGACTCTGGATTTCGGTTTGGGTCATGATCTCAGGGTCCTGGGATTGAGCCCCACGTGGGGGCTCCGCACTTGGCAGGGAGTCTGCTTGAGGATTCCCTCTCCCTCTTTGTCTACCCCTAACCCTCCCCTACTCATGCTCTCTCTCTCTCTAGAATGGATGAACAAATCTTAAAAACAAAAAACAAACAAAACTAGACGGTGTATTAAAGAACATAAGAACCATCCTGAGAGAGCTCCTACTGGACAAAGCAAGAACCCTTTGAGCAATAAAACAAATATTAATAGTATTGGATGTTAACCGATAGAATAAAATAAATATCCATGTGTCTATATGGATATAAATAAATAATCAAATAAATGGGAGAGAAGAAGCAGCTCCTCCTCACAGCAGAATTCCAATGAATGAAGTTCTGAGGCCAGAACCCATGTTCTATCACATCAGGCTGCCTCAAAGCTAACTAGCAAGTTTGACAAGATCCCTACCTTGATACCAAGTGCTACCAGAAACTTGAGTATATCAGGGGAAAACAACCATCAGGAGAAATGGCCTCTGCTAGAATATACATTTAAAATTAATCTATGACTCTTACTTTATAGACCCAGGCAGGGTACCTCCATGCGCTTGTAGCAACAAGACTTGTAGCTGTTGTACCTGGGAAAAGCAAAGAAAAATAGTCAGCTAATCACCAATCAAAAGCTACTTATCCCTTATCAGCTAAATTACTACAATTAGCCATACAGTACTTGATACCTATGAAATTGAAAGCATATCTTAGGCATTACAGAAAGCATCAGGGTTGATGATTCAATGACAAAAGTCCAAACAGCATTATATGAATGACTAGTACTTAGAAGAGGAGATGTCCCTTTTACCCAAGCATCTTAATGACTTTTTATTGAGCATCTATTTTTTAAAAACCAAACTCAGCACGGGGCTAGGTAATGTGTGGGGGGGATACGAGAATAAACTCTCATGTTTTATTCTCAAGTTTACAATCTAGTTGACAAAGACAAGTCTATGGCTTGAAATGGTAAGAAACAATACAAGAGAGAAGATGCTAATTCATAAAGTACAGTTAAGTACTCTAGGGTTCTGAGAAGAAGCAAAGTAATGAAAATTCCAAAACAGTCAAAAGAAGGCTTCCTGTGGCTGGATGTTAAACTGGAGTGCACGCACAACGATCTTCTCCCATTCCCTCCTATGGCAAAGGAGGAACTGTTCTGCCTCCTATGACTAGTCTCGCTGCTTACGCTTTGGATCCCAACTCTTCTTGCCTCCTCATGAATCATACTTTGTTATCCCTTCTCTCTTCTATATCTTCAACTTCTCCCTTTCTATAGGATCCTTTCTATTAAGATTAAAACATGTTCAGGGCGCCTGGGTGGCTCAGTCGGTTAAGCGTCTGCCTTCGGCTCAGGTCATGATCTCAGGGCCCTGGGATCGAGTCCCTTGTCAGGCTCCCTGCTCAGTGCAGGAGTCTGCTTCTCCCTCTCCCTCTGCCCCTCCCCCCTGCTCATGTGCGCACGCTCTCTTTCTCTAATAAAAATTAAAAAAAAAAGATTAAAACACGTTGAAGTCTCTCCCATCTTAAAACAAAGCAAAAGCACCTTTCTCAATCCCACTACCGATCTTTTTTTAAATTTTATTTTATTATGTTATGTTAATCACCATATATTACATCATTAGTTTTTGATGTAGTGTTCCACGATTCATTGTTTGCGTGTAACACCCAGTGCTCCATTCAGTACGTGCCCTCTTTAATACCCATCCCCAGGCTAACCCATCCCCCCACCCTTCTCCCCTCTAGAACCCTCAGTTTGTTTCTCAGAGTCCACGGTCTCTTTGCCCTATTTCTCCCCTTCACAAAGTTTGAGAGAACAGTCTAAACTCACTGCCTCCATTTCCTTTTGTTCACCCCTCGCACTTGCTCAAGCTCCTCTAATCTGATTTCTGACCATAGCATTCCACTGAAATAACTCTTGCTAAGGTCACCAATGATCTGCATGTCACTATATCCTCTGGGCATTTTTCAGTCTTCATTGTACTTCACTGTTTGGCAGCATTTGGCTTACCGGACACCATACTTTCCTGCCTTTCCTTTTATTCTTCCAGCTGTTCTTCTAAGGCTCTTTCTTGGTTAACCTTTGTGCCCGCTGTCCTTTAGATGATAAACCCTCAAACCTCAGTATCAGTCTTCTTGCTTTATCGTCTCTCCTTCAAGTCTCCTCTCTGCCTGATGGTTTCAATTACCATCTATAAACTGGTGACTCCCAAATTTATCTCAAACACAAATCTTTCTGAATTTAGAGCTTTATATTTAACTATCTACTTAATATTCCCACTTAGTTGTCTGCTATCCCAAAACCTGGCCCTTTTCTAGTGCACTCCAGGTCAGGGAACGTGCAGTTTCACATGCAGAAATCGGGGTGCCAAACCCTCATCCCCTTATCTAATCCACTGGTCATTTCTTTCCATCACCGCCCCCACCACCCTAAGTCTGAGCCACCATTTATCTCTCACATGGACCACTGAGTAACTTCTTAACATCGTCTCCATGAATCTACTCTTGCTCCACTATAATCCATTTCTACACAGTAGCCAGACCATCATTTCGAAATGTAAATTATCACTGTTACCACCCTGCTTATCATCAGTTTTAACACTGTCCATGAGGCCTTGATCAGGAATACTCTTTCCTGGCTCCCTCAGCTCTAGCCACACCGGCATTCCTTCAGTTCTTCAAATGCACTATATGCTTCCTAAATCAGGACCTTTTCAGACTTGCTATATGCCTGGCACTGTTCTAAGTGTTTTCTGTGTATTAATTCATCTAACCCTCACAAAAACCCTACGAGGCAGGTACAATTATTCCCATTTTATTTTATATATTTTTTAAAGATTTTATTTATTTATTTGACAAGGGAGATAGAAAGAGCCAGAGAGCACAAGCAGGGGGAAATGGCTGAGCAGGGAGCCCGAAGTAGGGCTTGATCCCAGGACCCTGGGATCATGACCTGAGCTGGAGACAGATGCTTAACCGTCTGAGCCACCCAGGCGTCCCAATTATTTCCATTTTATGGATAGGGTAGCTGAGGCACAGAGAACTTGGCCAGGGTACATAGCCAGTGAGTTATAAAGCCAGCATTTGAATGTGGGCAGTCTGACTGCAGTGTCAAAGCTCTTAACCACTACACTTTGCCACAAATGCTTTTTCTTCTCCCAGAAAGCCTCTTCCTTCTTTTCTACATAGATAATTCCTACTCAGTTTCTCAGATCTCAGTTCAAACATTGCTACCTCAGGGAACCCTTCTCAGCTTCGATATATAAGAGAAGACCCTATTCCATAATGTCATACTACCCTAATATAGCACACTATCTCATATGTTGGTATGCTTATGTGTTTGGCATTTGCTTCTCCCACTTAGGCAGTAAGTTCCACGAAGGCAGAAACCGTGTTTGCTTTGTTCAGTAATGTATCCCAACACAGTACCTGGCACATAGTAGTGTTCAATACATATTTATTGTTGGAATGGATGAACAAATAAGTGACTAGGAAGAAGAGCACTCTTGGCAATAAAAATAGACATGAAAGAAAATGGAGGGGCAGAACTGAGTATGGTATTTTATAATTAAGATGGTACTATTAACAGGTAAATTACTTGTATTTTCTATAGTGACCCCTAGGAGGGAGGGAGGGAGACAGAGGAAGAGAAGGGAAGGGGAAGCTTTAGACTAAGTGAATAGTAGCTCTTACCACCAAGGAGGAAGGCCAGAGACGGAGTAAGCAGTACACACTGGAAAGAGTACTATATCCTGGAAGGCAAGAAAACTTGACCCCTCCCCCAAGCCTGGGTCAATCCAACTCCCTCCCTTCTCATCTCCTCTACCAGAGCTACTGAGTTGTTACACAACAATTTATATTGATACCAGCATAAATGCATGCGCCTAGTCTGCTACCTCTTCCATTCCCATGATTTCAAGCCTCTGTGGTCTCTTCAATTCCTCTACCCTATTATCTGGTTGCTTGCTCATAGAAGATGACTTTGCCTCCTACTACACTGAGAAGGTAAAAGTTGTCAGGCTGAAAATCCCTCAATTTCCCTTCTTCTCCCTCTAAATTATTATCACTGTAGTGTTCCTATCCTGACCTCTTTTCTTCGAGTCTTGGGGGCAGGTCTCCCCTCGACTGTCTAAAGCCAATCCCTCTTTATTTGTGCTCAGGATCTCAACTACTTAGAGATGGTCCCTTAGCAACTAGTCCCTATTCTCAGTTTCAGTCTCTCCCAACTGGTTCTTTCACTTGTTCAAGTCTCTTCCATATTTTTTAAAAACAAACAGACCTATATCCTTTGGCCCTTGATTATCTATAGCTTTTGCTTTCTTTCATCTTGCCTTCTCGAAAAAAGAGCCTACCAGCTTCCTTCACTTCCCTATCTAGCATTTACTGACCAGCGCACAACAATCTGCTCCTGTCATTCCCCTGACCCTCTTCTCACCGAGGTCACCTTGTTGATAAAAAAAAAAAAGCAAAAACAAAACAAAACAAAACCTGGGGCGCCTGGGTGGCTCGGTCATTAAGCATCTGCCTTTGGCTCAGGTCATGATCCCAGGGTCCTGGGATCGAGCCCCACACCGGGCTCCCTGCTCCGCGGAAACCCGCCTCCCCCCCTCCCACTCCCCCTGCTTGTGTTCCCTCTCTCGCTGTCTCTCTCTCTGTCAAATAAAATCTTAAAAAAAACAACAACAAACCAACGGACACTTTTCAGTCCTTATCTTACTTTACACTTTATAAATTTGTACTTTTGATGGTCCTCAAAACTTTCTTCCCTTGTCTCCCATGATATCATTGCTTTTCTTCCTACCTGTTGGCTCCTTCTTAGTCTCTCTTTTTGTCTTCCTCTTTTCCCCATTCCTTAAATACTGCTGTTCCCCCAGAGTTCTGTCTTTGGCCCTCTTCTCTTCTTGGCCATTCACTCATTCAGCAAATATTTAGTGAGTACCCTGAATGTGCCATGCACTCTTTGATGTCGTCCACTCTATAATTTCAGATTCCATCTAAATGCTAATAACTCTCAAATCTGTTCAGACCTCTCTACGTTAAACCCAAATGGCCAGCTATGTTTGAACAACTGTACTTAGATGTCCCCCAATCTCTTCAAATTCAAAATGCCCCAAACTGAATCTCACTGTTTCAATTTTCCCACCTGACCTTGTTTTTCCTCCTCTATTCCCGGACTCAGTGATTGGTACTACCATTTAATCAGTTGTCCAAGCAAGAAACCCAAGAACACCCTTGATTCTCCCTGCCTCCCCTTCCACCTCAAATTTGTTACCAACCAAGCTCTATACATTCTACTTCCTTGGTTTTTTTTTTCTTTCTAATTTGCATCCTTCTCTTTATTTCTATGGCTACTGTCTTTAGTTCAGGCCATAGTTCTCACCTGGGTTATTATAATAGTAGATCTGTGGGGGATATGTTCCAAGACCCCCCTAGTACCTGAAACAGTGGCTAGTACCAAACTCTATATATACTATGCTTTTTCCTATACATACATACCTATGATAAAGTTTAATTTAGAAATTAGGCAAGTAAGAGATTGACAATAATAACTAATAATAAAATAAACCAATTATAATAATATACTATAACAGTTATGTGACTGTGGTTCCCCCTCTCTCAAAATATCTTATTGAGATACTGTCCTTAGCCTTTTTCTTGTGATGATATGAGATGATAAAATATCTATGTGATGAGTATCTAAGTGAGGTGAATGACATAGGCATTGTGATGTAGTGTTAGGCTACTATTAACTTTCTGACAATCCGTGAGAAGGAGAATTATCTGCATCCAGACCATGGTTGACCATGGGTAACTGGAACTGTGGAAAGTGAAACCGTGGATAAGGGGGGGGGTACTAGTGTAATTTATTTTCTTACTTCTAGTCACAACCACTTCTAATCTACTTTCTCTACACTTGCTAAAGTGATCTCCCTAAAACACACATTTCACCATGTCACCCACTTACTTAAAATCTTTCAGTGGCTCCCCACAGCTTTCAGGTTGAATTCCAAATCCTCTACTAGGTCATATAAGGACTTTAAGGATCTGATTCTTGCCCACCTCTCACTGCTCACTTTTCTATCAGTAAAATCTACAGTGCCACCTTCAAACCTTACATATGATGATAAACATGTCAATAGGAATTACTTTAAGATTTTCCCAAACTAAAGGATGCTTGGCTATCATCTCTAAACCTCTGGCAGAGGAGAAGCTGAGAAACAGAAGATCCATCATTCCACTCACATACTTACAATTTTTCCCAACAAATTTTAAGGCCCTGTACCTGTTGCTTCAGATGATTAAGTTCGGCTGTCTGGGGATCAATATTAACAACAGGTTTGTTCTTGATTTTTCTTGCTCTGTCAGCATAGCGAAGGGTATTTAATGTTTCTTCCAGATTGGAGTCAGCAGGACTCACACAGGCTATCATAAGAGTATGGCTATTACCTCCTAGAGAATCTGAAAAAGAATAACAGGAGGAAATAAAAGCAAACAAGTAGGATATAAGCAAAGCTGTCCATTTGGGTTGGTGTCTTCAAACTCAGAGCTCTAAGAAAAAAATTCTTAAGAATCTGCAAATTTCCTATTTGTGTTGATAGAAAAACACTAAGATTTTTGATGTGTAAATGATATAGTTTAGAATCCTATTCCATGTGTCCCCATTGTTAAGATTGTGATTTCAGCACTTAATCCATTTTAAAATAACTGGGGCCTGACCCAAGTAAGTTAGCAGCCACTCTTGGAATTAAACATTCTTAGGATGCCCCCTCTAGGTAGGTTTTAATTCTTCAGGGAATTCTGCTTAACAGGCACTAATAAACAGTAATCAAGTTCATTTTTAGGGGCGGAGGACTAAGCACAGTTGTCATTCTATAGATTGCTTGGCTCTCAAAGCCATATATGAAGACATCTTTCCAGTATCATAGAAGCCTGCTTGCCAATAGGTCTCTTTCAAAGCTCTTTATCAATTAGACAGCTCTGTATGTGATAGTCCAAAAATCTGTTTGCCTGTCCCATCTTCACCTTCTCAGCACCATTATTCTGAGTTATTCTCTTATTTTTAGAAACACTTTGGGCTTACCTTGAAGCAGTCGAGTCAACTTGGAATCTCTGTAGGGCACAAAGCCGCCCTTTTTGTCATCTCCAAGAGCACTGATTACATTTCCCAAGCACAGGAGGCCTCGGTTAATATTAATACCTAATAGCAGGAAACAAAATTTACACTGCTTGGTAAAGCATCGAACACATACCTGCATAAAATAAAAACCCTGCAGAAATATTAAATTGTCAATCAAGGAAACTTCTTGATCCTGTTCACTTTTCTGAGGACAAAAGTCTAAATGTTGGATAGGCACACGGAATTTGCTGGCACTTCTTGCCCTTTCCCATGGAAACAAAGTATACACACAGATAACTATCACCATGACAACAACATTTATATATTTACTTTTTATATCCATTATCACATCTAATTCTTAAATTAACGCTGAGTAATTAGATGAATAGCTGTTTTTTTTTATTGTCATCTTGCTAAATTATTTTTACTATCATTCTCATCTTACAGATAAGGAAACCAGCACAGAGGTTCACTGACTTGTCTAAGGTCAAACAGCTGGTGAGTGGTAGGCCTGACATTCCATTTCAGGATTTCAGTTAAGTCCTATGCTCTTTCTATGACACCACACAGGAATACATTTTCTCTTGCTGCTTTAGAAAGGGTGAAGGGTGAAGATTCTTTTCCACTTCTTTAATTCCAAGGTTTGCTTTTTAAATCCTGTAATAATCTCTGAGGTCCTTCTAAAGCCCCCGATTTTCCCATGATTACATTTATTGTGTAAAGGCTATATAGTATAGTGGTTAAGTGCATGCGCTTTGGTGTCAGATAGACCTAGGTTCTAATCCTGGCTCTACCACTGACTACCTATCTGATTTGGGTAAAGTTCCGCTCTAAAATGAGGCAAATATACCTACCTCATTGGGTTGTAGTGGGGAATTAAATAAGATACTCGTACAAAGGTAAATGCTAAAGAAATGGCATCATTTTTGTTAACCTTTTACTTACTTGGCCATACTTTGGACTCCCCTATAACCAGAAACAATCATATCTACAAGATCCTGAGCTCCAGAATTCCTGACTGCATCCCACAATCCTTTCATTTCTTTCATGAATCCTGTTCTTCACCCTTACTGTGACCACCAATTTACCGACACTCTTTTAAAGATTTTATTTATTTGACAGAGAGAGAGAGAGCACACACAAGCTGGGGGAAAGGCAGGCAGGGGGAGAGGGAGAAGCATGCCCTCCGCTGAGCAGGAAGCCCGATGCAGGGCTTGATCCCAGGACCCTGGGATCATGACCTGAGCTGAAGGCAGACACTCAACCGACTGAGCCATCCAGGCACCCAACACTTTTTTTAGAAGATTTACTTTATGTATTTGAGAGAGAGAGAGAGAGAGTGCGAGTGCCAGTGGGGGGAGGGGCAGAAGGAGAGGGAGAAGGAGAGAAATCTCAAGCAGACTCCCCTCTGAGTGCAGAGCCCAACTCGGGGCTTGATCTCACGACCCTGAGATCATGACTTGAGCCGCAATAGAGTCAGGCACTTAACCGACTTAGCCACCCAGGCGCCTCTACTGACACTTTCTTTCTTTTTCTTTTTTTTAAGATTTTATTTATTTGAGAGAGTGTGCAAGAGAGTGCGTGAAAGAGAGCACAAGCGGCGGGGGGGGGCAAAGGGAGAGGGAGAAACAGACTCCCCACTGAGCAGGGAGCCTGACGTGGGACTGATCCCAGGACCCCGGGATCATGACCTAGCCAAGGCAGACGTTTAAGTAACTGAGCCACCCAGGTGCACCCTGCCACTTTCTTTTCTTTTCTTTTTTTTTTTTTTTAAAGATTTTATTTATTTATTTGACAGAGAGAGAGACAGTGAGAGAGGGAACACAAACAGGGGGAGTGGGAGAGGGAGAGGCAGGCTTCCCGCGGAGCAGGGAGCCCGATGCGGGGCTCAATCCCAGGACCCTGGGATCATGACCTGAGCCGAAGGCAGACGCTAAATGACTGAGCCACCCAAGCGCCCCACCCTGCCACTTTCTAATACTCCCAGTAGATCATTCTCTCCTGGGCCTTAAACTGGACCCTGTGATCAATCATTTCAATTAGGCTTTCCCAAGCACTCACCAGACCCATGACCTTCTGCCTCCCTATCATGTTAACTCCCAGTCACAAGTTAAACCAAGTATGTGTGTGTGTGTGTGTGTGTGTGTGTGTAAGTTTCTGTAGGCTGCAATGCTGAAGAAAGTCACATAACCAAATGGACTAGACCCATTCATTATAAAACATTGCTATCTGACTTTAGGTGAACCTTTCGTCAACTGAAAATCTTTTCTTCCTCATCCCCTACTTCACCACGGCAGCTATTCTAAACAGTCATCATTTTCAAGACTGTAAATCTCCTTTCACTCTATTAGTGGATGATTTCAACAAATACACTGTGGAGATCAAAGTAATCCATCTACAAGGGAAGGTTTCCCCTCTCCTCACCTCACAGTCTTTTTCTTTGTGGTGATTCCTTCATCCCTCTCCTTGTTTCAGAGGAGTAAATAACCACATTTATTTCCCCTTCAGCCTCTGCTGGTTTGTTTCTCTTCCTTCCGTTTTCTCTGGGACCCTGGATCCTTGGATCTTCTCCCTCTCTCTTAGATCTTCAACTTATTTTCCCTTCACGAATTCCTTCTTTTCAGTCTATACACATGCTCAAATCACCCGAATCTCAAACAGAAACAATCCCCTCAAGCAACCATTCCTTTCTTTTCCCTTTATTGCTAACTGAAAGGGATACCATTTGCAGGGCCATTTAGCCTATCCAGGATGTGAAGGAGAGTCTGCAGAGATTTACCAAAGCTGCTCGCCAATACCTGTACTAATTCTTGTATTAGTTCATTCCTTTCTTTTCTTTCCCCTTTGAGCCACACAGAACACTGTGCCATCTTATTGGCTCATCTCCCATCTGGGATGTAAAGGAGAGACGGGGAGGTTTTTCAAACCTGCTGAGCAAAACTTCCATCTATAGTTTCATGCAAGAACAACAATAAAAAAAATCTAGATGAACCCTGAGAAGAATCTATGGCAACTAGGATCTAAGCAAGAATCATACACTTGGGTATAAGAGGCTGTTTTTTTCTTCTTCAAATGAGAATCGGGGCTTTGGGATAGAAAGGAGCAAGGGAAATGAATCTCTAGAAAGAAACCATCACAAAATGGGATTTGATTTCCTGTTAAGAGATTTTAAAATGACAAATTCTTGACATGGATGGAGTACACATCATAAAGACTGGGAAGCACATGTTTGCAGAGATTTACATTTCTGATCGAGGACGGGAATGGAGAAAAATGTCCAGATAACATTATAAAATCAGAAGGTATTCTCTCTAAGACTGAGAACAGATCAAACAAGGAGAGGATCAAGAATACTATTTGACATTTTTGGGTATTTATTTACTATGGCAACAAATAAATAATAGAGATTTTAACTTAAAAGGGAAATATAACTTGTATCATGGAGGCATGTTGCAACAGGTTTCAGAACTAGAACAGAAGTAACAGGGGAGAAAAACCAGGTAGGAGAGAAATGAAGTAGCTCCATATGCAGCAGCTCTCAAATGGGGATAATTTAGCTTTTGAAGGGACATTTGGCAGTATCTGGAGACATTTTGGTTGTCACAATTTGTGGGTGGCAGTGAGTACTACTGGCATCTAGTGGGTAGAGGACAAGGATGCCACTAAACATCCTACAAGGCACAGGACAGCCCCCCAAATTATTTGATCTAAAATGTCAATACTGCCACAGCTGAGAAACTCTGCTCTATAGGTGAAGAAAATATCTGCGAGCCTAAGGCAGGTAGCCGAGTAAAACAGGGTGAAAAACAGTAGTATTATAGTATCAATATGGTCCACCTAGTTAGAGAGAAAGGGAATGATCTGTTACTGCAATGGCGCACAAAACTCACAGGAATAAATACTGAGAAGGGATAGAGTGAAAGGGAATTTGATTAGGAGACAGAATCCTAGTTCAAACTCTGCCTCTGCCACCTACTGATATGTGTGATCTTGGACAAGCCACTGAAACTTTCCTTTATTCATAAAATAGGTGTGATACATACCTTACCACATTTTCATCAAATGTGATCTACAAAGTGCTACCTACACATAAGTTTTTATTAATAGGGTGGACAAACTTGGATAATTTGGGTATCTACTAAGCTATGTAAGGCTGAAAGTAGAGCACCTGATAAATTCCTAATCTACTCTGATGACAGTTTCTTCACTCAAAAGATACCGTGAGTGAATAAGGAAATGGCTACTTTGGCCTTCAAGCTGACACACACAGAAGAACTGATGATATAAATAAAATAATGGGCATCTGTTTGTTGGGGACCAAGGGGCATGGTTATACACCAGTATGCTAGCTGTTAAGAAAAGAGATCTCCAAAATTTGGGAAAAAGGCAGCTAACTTTCTGGGAACAGGACATCTAAAGGGGAAAAAAGGACAGAGGGCTTTCAAAACACAAAATTGTAATTATCTAGTCACAAATTATTTCAATAAAAAAAAAATCGACGTAGCGGGGCGCGTGGGTGGCTCAGTCGTTAAGCATCTGCCTTCGGCTCAGGTCGTGATCCCAGGGTCCTGGGATGGAGCCCCGCATCGGGCTCCCTGCTCGGCGGGAAGCCTGCTTTTCCCTCTCTCACTCCCCCTGCTTGGGTTCCCTCTCTCGCTATGTCTCTCTCTGTCAAATAAAACAAAAACCAAAACCGACGTAGTTTCCTAGAAATCAACGTGACAAAGAAACTCACACAGAAAAAGAACATAGAGCATTACAGGAAGTTCTGTTCAAACACAGGAGATTGGCCACCAGCATTTCTCTCCTCTCCCTCCTAAAAACACCACTAAACGGAATTTTAAAAGTACTTTACCCACCAGATCACAGAACATAGGAGAGAAATATCAGTAGACAGGAGGTTTCAACATATTTTCAGAGTACAGGTAGAGAAGCAATAACTAACTTAGCAAGACAGAAGAAGCTTCGATCTAAAGAGCCTGCAGGGGGACAATAATGGTGATAGTGATAATAACAGCTAAGTTTACATAGTGTTTACATAAGCCAGACACCTTTCTAGGTACTTTATACATAGTAACTCA